AAAATCGGACCTATGCCACGTTTATACGTGTATGTTACTCTATTGTTACAAGAAATTTAAAAAAACAATTTGGAGCCATTTTTCAGAAAATTTTGAAAATGTCCGGGAGGCTTCATGGGTAAACTACCCACCAAATTTTAAAGGATGTTTTTCAAAATCTCGAAGTTAAAACTCGATCCAGATGGACAGGGGTTTCTTCAATTTAGAAACATATCCTACGGACGGACGGACTGACAGACATTTTGAAAAAAAACACTTTTTCGGTATCTAGGGACCCCAAAACGTGTATTTCCGTTGAAATCCCGATATCATTTTTTCCGCAATGTACGCTATTAATGACTCCGCGCCGAACTCGCTTTAAACTCACCCAGCTCCTTTCCACCGTCCTCGGCTGTCTCGCTCCTGCCCCATCTCACTCTAGCCATGGTCGTTAAAAGAGATAAACCATGGCCAAACCTTGAAGATTTTCCAAAACAAATTCAGAGAGTAATGAAAACATTTAATTAAAAACGCGATTTCAAACTGCATTCATCTGACGCCATCACCGCAGGCACACTTAAGTGCAGTTTCGCCCGTGAAAGCTGTAAAAAGTCCTAGTGAGCGTTATAGAATTGATTACTTTTAGATCTTATCCTTCATGTCAACATTTAAAAAGCTTTTTTTTTTAAGTTAATGTTTATAGAGCATAAAAGTTATTTATCCCACTCATCGGAAACAAACGGACTTTATCAAACAGCCACCGTACTTACCTAAATTCAAATGAGTAGGACTACACGGAATACCCTATTAAAAGTTCCAATTTTTTGTTGCTATTTTCGAAAATAAAGCGAGATCCTTCCAATTCGGTATATCACCAACTAATCTAACAGGTTTCATTTGGTATATGCGAGGAAAAAAATTAAAGAAACTAGCCACAGAGTGGGCACATACCTTCCCAAATTAGTTTTCTATTTCCCTATGGTATGCGGTTAGCTATTGTGACTTGCCAACTACTCTTCGGCAGCTGCTACCCATCGTACATTTTTTTTTGAAAAAATTTCTCACTTCCCTGTTTCTCAATTGTAGGAACGGAAATGAGTATTTAAGAATATTAAAGAAGAGTAAAAACTGCGTCAATGGAATGGCAATTTTCATTCACAAATTTGCAACCGTTTTTGACAGAATCTCTTTGTATTTTTTTTTTAACATTACCACAAATTTGCAAACTATCTTGCTCCGAAACTTACTAACATTTCTAAAAGCCTGTACCATGACCGCTAATGAAGTAACTAATTATAGGAGAATTAAATTTTCATTTGCAAGAAAAAATATCTATCTTCAATTTTGTAATAGTAGTAGAAAACTCGCCGCAAAAAATCAGTTTTGCAATTATCGAAAAATCAGAGTAGTTGAGTTGAAAATCTTACCTATTGCCACCTTTATAAGTGTATTTTACTCTATTCTTACAAGAAATTTAAAGAAAAAATTTGGAGCCATTTTTTTTATAAAATTTTGAAAATGTCTGTGGGGCATCATGTAAAGTACCCCTAATGAATGAATGTTTTGCAAAATCGCAGAGCTTCGACTCAGGCCACATCGACAGGGGTTTTTCAGTTTGTAAAAGATCGTATGCCTAGTTTACAAGCTAGTGTTGTTCACATACACCAGACAAACTGACGGATGGACGTTTTGTCATAAATTGATTTTTCGATATCAACAACCCACAAAACATGGATTCTGGCTACACGACGAGTTTTTCTTAATTTAGCAACGAGTTTTATTCACTTTTTCGTTACGAGAGCCTGACAATGATTTTTTTCTGCCGAAAATTCGCCGTTTTTCGCGTAACATTACATAACTTTCCCTACACTACATATATTACTCCGTATATACGTACGTATATGGGAAAGTAAAAATTTGAAGCCGTTTCTGAGAAGACATTTGTTTAAAATTTTAAAATTGCATGTTTGATGCAAAATTGTCCAACTATTCTCATATTTTCGAAACATTGAACGCGATCTTATTTGAAGATCTGCTTCTGATGAACACATTTCATTAAGAAAATGCTTATATTCTTCACAATTGTAGTTATAAGAAGACGACGAAAATTTTTGAAGTTTTGCAATTTCGAAACAAGGGATTTAAACGAAAGTGAGACCTGCCCATTCTCTTAAGCGTCCTTTACGCTTTGCGAGGGCAAAATTTAATTAAAAAAGTATGATTTTATTGCCATTTTTAAAAATAATTGAACATGTTCCAGGGTCTTCATGTACAGTACCTCCACAAAATTATATCTATTTCCATTTCAGTGAAGCGCGGCTCCAGCTTGATCGACTGGGGAATATCAATTTTGGTAGAAATCCAGCTTAAGATTTAGCAGCTAGCATTGTTTACAGACGGACGGACAGGCGGATAAACACACGTTTCGCTATCAATCTTTTTTTAAGGGTGCTTTATGTAAGCTATGAAATGACAAACTATATTTTGCTCTATTTTTTTGTTTTTCCAAAAATTACAAAAATAAATTTGTTTTGACTTATCTGTCACATCGGTAATATTTGCATAAGCGCCGGTTTGTTTACATTATTGCATTTATGAGCACATGTTCTTTAATTAATATCCTAGAGTTTCTCGAAAATTGAACATTGTCTGGGAAAATGAGTTCAAATTTCCGCTTTTAGAGACACGCTCAAATTCCATTTTTTCAAAAATGCCCCAAATTTTCTCTTCAAACTTCTCCAACGGAGAGAGCTAATTGCTCTGTTTAATATAACATACAGTTCATTTTGGAGTATTTTTTGTTTGTTGTTTTTCAAAAACTGCACAAATAAAATTTCTTTCAAATATCTCTCATGCCTTTAGTACGCACATTTCCGGCGATTTATATACATTATTGCATTTTGTGAGAGGATGTACTTCAAATGAATTGCTTCGAAAACCCAAAAATGTGAAAAGAGCATCAAATTTCACATTTACAGTGACGCTTTAACGTTGTTTTGTTAAAAATTACTTCGAAATTTTCAACGAAAATTTGCATACACGACGAGGTTTTACTCTTCTTTAATACTTTAAATGTGATATTTCGCATTTACCATTACGAAACCGAAAAATTGGGAAATTTAAAAAAAAGAATGTAGTTTGGGTGGCGATAGCTGACAGGTCGCAAGAGGATTGGGCAATCGGAAAGCTAGCTCAGACCAAAAGAATTAGAAAACTAATACGAGAAAGTTTGTGCCGTTCATGGCACCACTAGTTACTTTCTCGTATACGTACGTATATACGAAGTAATAGACGTAATTTATAGGAAGTTGGGACATGCTGCGAAAAATGATTTTGGGATTTCAAAGGAAATACGCGTATTAGGGTCGCCTGATACCGAACTAGTGGTGCTACAGAAAGGCACAAACTTTCCCGTATTAGTTTTTTACTTCCTTTAGTCACGGCTAGCTATTTGGACTTGCCACATACTGTTGGGAGCTACCATCTATCACCGTCAAAGAACTTTTTTTTTAATTTCTCAGTGTCCTAATAGTAGAAAGGAAATATTATTTTAAGAATATTAAAGAACAGTAAAACCTCGACATAAATGGCAATTTAAAGCCGTTTTTAAAAAAATGGGATATAAGCGCTTCTGTAAATTTCGAAATTTGAAGCTCTTTTTAACAGAAAATTCTTTTAAAAATTACATTTGTGTATATTTTTAAAAAGAAAAGAATACCTCAAAATTATTTTTATGTTTATTTAATAGTTCAATTATCACTAACCATGCGAAAAGTTTGAAGAAACAATTTGGAGCCTTTTTGAGAAAATGGAGTTTGAGCGTTTCTGAAAATGTGGAATTATGAGCTTATTTTCACAGAAAATTGTTTATTTTTCGTGGAACTTTATAGGACTTTATTTAAAACACATATACTCATAAATACAGTATTGAGAACAAAGTGCCTCAAATATAAATATTAATGTGTCAGTCAAGTCAACAAATTATTCTTCTAATTTTTGAAAAAACAAAAGAATAGAGCAATATGGCATTTACGTCATTTTATAGAATACATTTAGCAATATCCGTAACATAAGTTGTAAAAAAAAAATTGGTGCCGTTTTTGAGAAAATTTTGAGAATGTTCGGGGCTTCATGTAAAATACTCCCAAAAATTAATGAATGTTTTTTAAAATCTCAGAGCTTTAACTCAGAGAAATCGGCAGGGGTTTCTTCGATTTGCAAAAATACTACATTGTTCAGACCCTAGTGTTGTTCACATACGTCAGATGGACGGACAGACAGACAGACTGACGGACAGACGTATTATTCTAATGCACATAGTTTTGACGTCAAACAATTTTCGGTATCAAGGACCCACAAAACATGGATTCTGGCTAAACAAGTGTCAGAGCTTTTTTTTTTTTTTTTTAATGTAGCAACTGTATTTATTCACTTTTTCATTACTAGGTCCCGGCAAGAATTTTATTATCAAAAATCCCCCTATTATTGTGCAGCTTTACATAATTTTCCCTATACGACGCATATTACTTACATTACTCTGTATATTCGTATGCATATGGGAAAGGAAAAATTTGCAGTCATTTTTGAGAAAACTGAAAATTTCCAAGGGGGTTCGTGCAAAGTACCCCCAAATTTTACAGAATGTTTCTCAAACTCGTTTTTGGAAAAAATCCTGTGAACTGATAGGAGCCAGTGTTCACAGACGGTGGAGGAAACAGCAGTCACAGGACAAACCGAATGACAAATTAGTTTGTAATAGAGAGTGTACTAAATGTTTACCAGCTGCACTTTTCTTCCTTTCCAATAGCTCAGGTAATCATTAAGTTCTAATATTAAATGAAAATGTCAATTTTAAATGACAAAACAATAAACAATATGAATAATTATTTTAAATTTTAATTTGATCTTATAGTCAATTCAAAATATATTTCAATTTAAAATTTATACATTCATTACAAATTATGAAAAACAATAAATGGAATTGTTTCCATTGACCAGCTATTTCATTTTCTGAAACATACTTTCATAGTTTAAAAAACACAAGTCATTAATTTGTCTGCAATTATGCTTATGTCAACTGAATAAGACTTGACAACAAAAATATAAAATTAATTCAATGCATTTTCAAATGAAGTCATTTAACAATTCACCATTTACATTTAAAAAGATATGAATCGTAACTTTTGAAGCTCTCTAGCCCTAACATAGAGAAGATGTGCTCACCAATGCCACCAAAGCAAAATGAGCAAAGTTAAAAATTTTATTTACATAAGAAAACTGTGGAAGGTATACATTCTTGGATACAGGAAGTAATATTTTTATAAATCAATAGATATTAAATTATTTGTATCAGTAATTACTTTCAAAACATGTGATGATCAATATATAAATTAACATAAATTACAATTATATTACAGAATAAATCCTTTCTCAATTGAGAATTTTCATAAACTATTTCAATGAACTGCGAACGGCACACGTAAAGAATAACAAATGAACGTTAGAATTTGCATCTGAATTCCAGCATTCATAATATACAATATTCCAATACGTAAATAATGATATTTAACAGCACATTATTAAAATCATTCTCTATTTAATGCATCGTAAAAGCAATCATCTTTATGGGCAATAAATTGTCAAACAATTGTCCGGGAAAACAAATGTTATTCCTTACTCAGTAGATAGATGGATGAACGAAATGGAAATGAAAATAAGTAATTCTCACTCCAAAAATCTTATTGTTCTAAGATCATGCAATGATGTACTTGACTAAGTATTTAATAACTTTATCAGCAGTGAACAATAAATCAAAAGAATACTAAGAAGAACACATTTAACTCATTTAGTTTTCGAAACTGAAGGGATTATACATACAGTTAGGGCATGATGAAATTGCTAACCTTTTGTATATGAAATGTAAATTATACGTGTCACAATTGGCTTCGAACAGAACTGACAGACATTTTGAAAACTAACACTTTTTCGGTATCAAGGTCTCACAACTCGCAAAATCTGACTACATAACATGTTAGAAGTAATTTACAGGATTTATCCACATTTTCTGTATCAGAGCCCCACAATACAAGTTTTTCAGCTTAAAAATCACTGCAGCACTACATAACTTTTCTTTATTTATTTTACATAACATTCTCTACCCTACGTGTATTACTTCTTATTACATATATTATGAAAAATAACTAGTAGTACTACAACAGCACACAGCACTTTCTCGCAATATTGTTAATGTTTATGTAATATTATGTGACAATTTTCTTTAATTATTATTATTTATTTGAGGCCTATTCAGTTGCATTACACTTTTTCATGGAGTTGAATATAAAAGTACCTAATGTAGAGGCAAGATACCACCATTTAATTGTCAGGTAAAATAGTTACCCATAATTCAGTAAAAGTGCAATCATTAACTTTAATTAGGTAATTGAAAAATAATTATGAAAAGCATAAGTATAAATGAAATAAGTTTAAATTCATGGAGAATGAAAAATATCTTTAGGAGAATGTGATTGGATTCGAGGATGAGGAAAATAGTTTTCACCTTAAGTCAAATTTTGAAAAACAGGTGAAGTTCATAATTTGTAATAGAATTTTTTTGAGAAGTGATGTATAAACGAAATGAAAGAATTAATTTGAAGTTATGAATGAATTTGTTTATTGGATATAAACCAAGGAGTGTGTAAAATTTCATGATGGAATTTATTTTGAATTATTTGAAATTTGTAAGGATTGGTAGTAGATGCATTACACCAAATACAGCAGGCATATGAAAGAGAAGCCCTAATGATAATTTTATATAACAAGATTACACAATTAATTCTAAGTTTAAAAGTTGTAAAAATTATTATTTAAAATATAAAAATTGCATGTTTCATAGAAAATTACAAAAAAGACCCTCATATTTTCAAAAAATTGTAGACTATCTTATTTAATGATGTTTTTGAATAACATATTTCAATAAAAAACAAATCTCCGTAATTGTAGTTGCAAGAAAAAAATTTTGAATAATTGCAATTTTGGAAAAATCAGGGATATAAACAAATATGAGATATGCACTCCTTACATATCCGAGATCAAGATTTAATCCAAAAATGTTTCTGCCATTCTCTTTATAATTTTGAAAATTCTCCTAGGGTATCATGTAAAGTATCTCCTTAAAATGTCTGTTTCATATTCATGGGACTGTAACATTAGCTGATTGGGGAATATTAATATTGATGAAGCTAGTTGTTCACAGGCAGACGTTTTGCTGTCAATTGAAGACCCACAAAACATGGATTCTGATTTCATGTGTTAAGAGGAAGTAATTTACTTTACAAAGGAGCAAGATTTATCCACTTTCTCGTTACCAGGACCCAGAAATAAAATCTTTTCTTGCTACCAGATCCCAGAATACAAATCCACAAATCCTTTTTAAATAAAATAAAGAACTGAATTTTCAATTTCAACTTATTAAAGCTGTGAATTTACAGAAGTCTCAACATGCTGATAGGAATTAGAATGTTAATACCAAATATCATGAATTAAATTACAGTAGCCCATAAAGGGACAAAACAGTATTTGCCACATACAGACAATTATATCATTAATGACGAATTAAAATTTGCAAGATGAAATTTTACATGATGATTTATCAAAATCTACATGATTTATTCCATGCGCAAAAAAACCATTAGTGTTAAATACAAAAAGCATTGCAAACAATTAAATCTTTGGCAACATACTACATGTTTAAAAAATTGTGCTAATCTAAAAAAAATTGTATTATATAATTCACAGCTTGGTGACTGAAACAAATATACATTAAAATCATTGATGAACAGCAAATAACATACATAACAAGAATGGAAATTGTACAGATCATACTCCATCACAAATTGCAAAGGATAGTTTATTTCTCAAATGAAACCAGAATAGTAAAAACTTGCAAACATGCACAAAAAGGGTTAAAAAATTATTTTTGTTTAAATTCAAAAACAGTCAAAACAAGTGGCACATAACAGCAAAATGCTGCAGAACGAAACCAATGAAAACGATTTTCCAAAAAGCAGAATGCACTGCTCAAGAACCACAAATAAAACACTTCCATAAAGCAATGCAGTAAATGTAATATTTTAATAAAAAGTCTTCATGAATACTGCAATAACAGTGTACAATTTATTTACATTCAACAATTCTATACATACCAGGATATCAAAAACATTGCTGTTACGTAACGCAACATGTGAATAAGCAAATATTTAATGGTGGACAACCAATGTTCTTGGAGCCTTGTTATCACATGACATCAGCTGATTCATAACCACTGACGCACTGAGTATGAGAATTCAGTCAATACATGCAATAAGAGAATAGGTGGAATAATACTATGAAATATTTGCATTTCTCAGTACAAATTAAAAATGTTTCATTGTTTTAAGATTTTTCTGAAGTTCTTGAGAAACCTGTACTTCATCATCATTATAATGTGCTAAATTTTCCTTAGATCAAAATACCTAAATGGGGGTTTTACAAACATGTAAAAAACACTCAAAAAACACAGAAATGTTTATGATTTCAAAATTATTTTAAATATAACAAAACCTGTCATTTTAAGTATTGAAATATCCATTATAAACTCAATTTCAATCACAGAAAATACAAATATAATAATGTAAACCAACAATAAAATACAAACTTCATTTGCTAGTATTCAAAACTCTAATATAATTCCAACAAGCAAGCACAAAAACAACAGTCATACAAAATAAACTTATCCGTTAAATGCAAACTTTACTGCCAGGCTATAAAAACACAAAGGGTAATATGTTTTGTTGTGGATCCTATAATCGTTTCCATTGAGTGCTCATACTTCTTCACTGTTTAAAATTGGGTAATATGAGAATAACTTCCTATAGACCCACAAGCTCCATAGGGTTGGTTGTTGGCTCAATTATGCCCATATCTACAAACCCCACACATGGTCTAAAAAGAACTTGAAAAACTCATAGAAAAACAAAATGTTTGAATTATTTTTTTTAAACTATTTCAAATAAAATAACAAAACTTACAATTGCATGAATTGAAATATTCATTCAAAACTCAACTTCGCAAACAAATGCTTACAAATAAGTAGTGCAAAACAAAGTAAACTGAGAATAACATACAAACTTCATTTGCCAATATTAACAACTCCAATTTCATCACAAGAAACTCATACACATAAAACCAGCTGCATGAGCATGGATTACTATTGCCAAGTAGGATTCTAATTGGAAGTCCAAGGTTTGAGTAGCAAGTGGCAGATTTTCGTCACTATCTAAGAAGCTAGGACGAATTCAGTTGCTGTCTGGAGAATTCCAGCAACTCACTGCTTTGATCAATAGTCTCTCATGGTTTCTTCAATCATTATCTGGTGTATTCCTGAGAAGTACCCAAACAAATGGGTTATGGACTGTTTGCTATCTCCCCTTCCCTCATCCTTATTCCTTTTTCTCCCTTTACACCCACTATAACTATGCCTCTCATGTTGACAACACAATGCAAGTACAAATTTAATTTACAGTACTATGCAAAAAATTTTGCAACTTTGCTACTTCTAATGAATTTATTTACTTATTTCACACTATACAATCATTTTCTTTCAATTTGTTTTCCTAGGCAATTGCTATTTTATTTTACCTGCATGTAATAATAATGAAAAATGATGTAGCTATTAATGATTATGAGTTTGAAATTTTAAAATAAGGGAGGGTGGGCTAATCTTTGGATATACAAAACATGTACTTACTGAATGTACTTCAATTTCTTTTCAGATAAAGAAAATCAGTATTTTATGTGAACCCAATTAACAATGTAATATACCCCATAAAATGCAAATACACTCAAAAATATCCACCAGGTTAAAAGTATTTATCTTTTATTACAAAACCCTGTTTTTTTCAACCCTGATCATAACAATAATGATATTTATAGAATCACATATGCAATTTCAGTTGTTTGAGAAGTCAGAATTTGGTGCTTATAAATAATACATCAAAACAAATTTTTAAAACTTAAAATAAATGTCATAAAAAGTAAAGGAATTTATGAACCAATAAGTAATAATGATAATAATAATATTATGAATAATAAAATTTAAATAATAAATAAATAAATTAATAATAAAATTTAATATTATTAAAAGACCCCGAGGGCAATATATACTAGTTTCATTCTTTTTCTGGCATAAAAGATGGTACCATGATGAAACTTGGGATTTTCATCATGGTACCAAATTAATGTTGAATCAACATTCCTTGTCCTTCAACGGGACTTCATGATTATAAATTAATCATGGACATTACAGGATTTCACTGTTCTAAAAATCCAGACAATCTACATATGAAGAAAACGAATATCCAAAATATAGCACATCTCTATGAAATAAAAATTTTAAATTACAGTTTAGTCATACCCACCCAAATACACTCCTAACATAAAAAAAAAGCCTGTTTACTATTCTTGCTTCAATGCACTAAGACTTATAAGAATGTCCCTTCCCTTAAATTGAGCAGGAATATGAACCCGCATATGAAGATCTCAATCAATACACATAGAAAAAATTATCAAGAAAATAACTATCACATAAACAATTTTTCTCTTTACAATAATCATAGGTGAAAGTTTACGGCAAAACTTTCTGACTTAACATTCACTAACCCCTCACTTTAACCTATTCTTTTCCAAGACATGAAACATAATTTGAATTACCGCGTCATAAAAATGGCCCATTAATTTTGTAGTGAAAAGACAGAAGTTCGCAGATGCACTTTGATTACTTTCAAAGTTTTAGTTACAGAATCTCTCTTTGTCTTTCATCCGGTAACAAAACTTTATTTTTTAAATAAAATTGAAAGCACAATGCTCTGTGGACAATGATAAAACATTATATTCATAAATAAAATTACTTAAGAAGTTAACAAATCCTCTCCTGCAAAAATCATATTACGCTTGGGCACTCCAGTTGTATCACAAGGAAAGAAAATGGAACAAAATGTACATTCTTGAAGAAAAAAAATATATTTTTTTAAATATGATATAATAATTTTGATAAGCTAATTAAGGATTGGTGTATGCAAATCGTAGAGACCCACCTTGCCATTGACTTGGAATTTCACAAGCACCCACATTGACTTAAGTTTTTGTTGCATTCCTCTTCTTATCCCTCTTTCTACTTTGCCAATTTTATTAATATATCCACCTCTCTGTAAAACTAGTCTTACTAACATACTTAATTCTTTGAAGTATTTTAGAACAAAAAATGTCTGAAATTTTCAGAAATAAGCTATACAGTTGGCATGGCCAAAGATTATTGAAGTGTAAGGATGCACACGTTGAAGACAATTCATTTTTACAATGAAGGCTATGTTCTGTTTAAAAAAATTAAAACAAAAAAGCATCTTTATGTGGAGAGACCAAGCTTATACTTCAATTCATTTGGTGCCCTTTGACAGTTCAGCAGCTGTTTCAGTCATCCAGTTGGGAGCTTAAATGTCTCTACAGTGAAATCTCTATGGTGACATTCAAGCTCCAGATTGGATGACACCAAAACAGTGAATTTATATCAACAGATTCAATGTTTAAATCAAAGTATAAGTAAGATAACCAACAACTCTACAAAATTTAAACAGAAACATGAGGTAACAATTTTACATTACTATTTTATTTATACAACTAAAATTCAAGTCACGTTACAATCATTTTTATGAAAAGTTTTGAGAGCTTCTTCAACAAGAATGAAACCAAAATATTGAACTTAACTTTATAAAATTAAATGAAATTCAAACAATTTAAAAATATAATTAAATATTGCATGTAACAATTTTACTGCAATAATACGGAAAACAGAATTTTAGCCAGCAATTCTTGAGACATATTTTATACAATATACATAGTCAGTTTCTCCTTTATATAAACCATTCCCTAATACTTTTAAATGCAATTTTTTCCACCTTTTTAACAAAAGGATGGTTCAATTTGGTACACCATTTACTGCACTTATTGTACTGTGAGGGAAGCATAAATAATTATAATTTTCACAGCATTTTCCATTGTTTCACATATTCAAAGGTATTATTGGCCATGTAACAGGATGCTTATTAGCACAAAACTGTCTAAAATTAAGCTGCACAGCAGTTTCCATTCCCAAGATTTTAGAAGCAGACTTTCCAAATAACTCCTTCTTAAGTTTTTCCTTCTCTTCACGCTGAGCTTTGTGAAACAAAATATCTTCTAAATCCTTAGATTCAACAGTTTCATTTCCTTCAAAGCAGTGTGTTGGTAATACACGTCTAAGTCCCATCATGCATGCATCAAAACTAGACTCATCATCTTTAGTTTCTACATTACTTGATTTTCTTCTCTGCGATCTTGATGAACCCCACGCACACCCAAGATTTGCATCTTTATCATTATCTTGATTTCGCTCCCGTTGTAATTCCATCTTATGCTTCATGCTTTGAGTGAAAAATTCTATCATATTATCATCAACTTCAAATTCAAATTCTTCACTATCATTAGCAGTCTCGTTGTCCAAAGGATTCACTTTCCCATTAGTGAAATCTCTTCCAGGAGAATCAAAATTGAATTTTCCATGTTCAAATGTATTCTCTCTGAGATTAGGAACATCAGTCATAGGCATGCTGTTTCTACAATCATGAGTGTGCATAGTTCTTGCTGCCAAATTGGGATGACTTGTTGAACCATTTTCAATAAGTGATCGCAACATTTGATTCTCATATTCAAGCGCTTGAGCACGAGATTTCCAATAGGACGCATGATGGTTCTGCACCCATTTCACACATCTAAAATAATTACCCCAATAATAATCGTAAGGTCCTTTACCCAAAGAAGCCATTTGTTTTCTTTCTCTGATATATTTCTCACTTCTGCGTTTGGCTTTTCTTCGTCTTCTTGACAACTTTCTCGCCTTCTTTGGAAACGTTTTACGGATTACCTTCGATTTCACGGACACATGATCTTTACCTACTGTCTCGTCCGATTGTGAATTTGAACATGACGGTAAAACCATTGCACAATTATTCAATAATTCAAAAGCAAAAATCCGAAAGCGTAGAGGACGACAAGAAAAACAATAAAAATATAAGACAATCGCAAATTAAATTTTGAGCAAGTACACCAACGTTGAGTACCAAAATCAGTTTTCTCAAAATAATTTCTGTTCTTTATTATTTACGTCAATTGTTAACATATCTTTTATTACGTACATATGGTCTGGTTACTAATTGTTTAATTACCCAACTTAATTCAAAGCAGTATAAGTGTGTTCTTGCAAGCAATTCGAGTTGGTTGCACCCATGCAGAGTTTGCAGTTTCAGCCAATGAGCTTCATGCACCAGATTGCGTCACCAGATTTGGTGCGGAAATTTTAAATGCAACACGAACCAAATACCTTATATTATTATAAATTGTGAAAAGATATATTTGAAGTAGTATCTCCATTTTTTCTATATTCACAATCTCTTTCCTGTAGTCCTCTGGCAGCCATCACGTCTTTTCATACATCTTGGGAGGAACCCATTTTCTTCTCTCGGGAGGAGTCCATTTCCATATCAATTTAGGCCATCTAAACTCCTCTATACTTTCTAGATAACGATACCAGAAGAGGCGTTTGGTTTCAATTTTGTCGATAATATTTCTTTTAACGCCCATCCCTTATTAAAAATCCCTTATTTTATCATTCCGTACGTGTTCCAGTTTGGAAGTGCCGCTGCTTCTTCTCCAAAAATACATTTCAAGTGCAAGAAGTCTGTCTTGTTTCCTTTTATTCAGTTCCCATACTTCTACACCGTAGGTAGTGATACTTTCAACGACTGAGGAGTAACTTTGTTCTTTTTTCTTATTTTATCGTTTCACAGAATGGGGTTAAGTTGCCGCATCGCTTTTTTACCTTGTCCAATTTTATTATTAATGTCATCCCAGTTTTTATTATTGGATGATAAAGTGATCACTAAATATTTTAAAAGTTGTACAATCTTCAGTTTTTTCAGTCTCTATCTATATATCTTTCAGTTCGTCATCTCCTACTTTCAGATTCTGAGTTTTACACATATTAATCTTTAAGCCCCATTTTTCATATTCCTCTTACGGAGCATATAACTTAAGTCATCCATATCCCCGGGCAAGATAGCCACGATTGTCGCCAAAGAGTAATCTAACTGAGGACCGTTCTTGGTACCTATTTGTTTAATTATTCTCTTGAATTTACTATTTAAAAATCCACATTTCACCCGACTTTTAGAAGATTATTCCCAAGATCGCCCCGTCGTAATCAAATTTCATATATGTCTGGGTCTAATAGGCCGTGCTGTACAGATACTCCAGCGAAATAATTACGTAGTTATTTTTTTCCCCTTTTACGAAGGATTGGGAACTTCTTGGTTGTTACACAGAAATAACAATACTTTACTTCAGTTACATTTTTATCTGTATTAAAAGCATAAACATTCATTCAAATATTCTATTGAAAACAACAATAACAATTTTCATAAATACATGTCCTCCCATAAATTATCCTATAGTCGTTATCTAATAATCGGTACACATCCTTTCCTCTTTGTATGCATGGCCAAATTCTCACGCAATTATTAATTTAGAAATTTTACTTTATTACAGCATTTTGCCTTCCTACAATAGCAAATACAAATAAAAATAAATGTTCCCCGTTTTGCTGCTTTCCTTGCGCAGATCCACCGCAATCTTGAACGTCATCAAGCTTCTATTCAGCTTCCATTTATTTCCAAAAGTATTTGGTCTACTCCGGCGGTGTTCGCGTTCTCCAGACACATAATTATATTTCATCTCTAATCCTACATTTACTACCTTGAGACATCGCCTTTACAAACTAATTCAGTCTAATTCTTCCCGCAACCAAATAGCTTTCCCTTCTACATCCGACTCACACGTGTCCGAACATCGTCTTACCCGTTTTTTCATCTCGAGCGCGCTTTGTCTTTCGCCCTTCGTCTCTCATCAGCGCGAAATTAAACTCAAACACGACTGTTCTTTTCTTGTGCGCCGATACTTCGATTCGTCTCACACGATCTAATTCCTGATTGGTCACACATACTTCAACATATCTGTTTATTTTTTGTTTTCCTGCTCGCAATAACTTCTTAATTATTTTCTGCTCTACGAAATTTGCTCACGTGTCCTTTCACTGCATTACTTATTAATAATTATGTATTTTCCCCACTATCAATTTTGTTGTCCTTTCTTTATATTGTTTCCAAAATGAAGCTCACCTAGGTTTCTTTTCTATACTTCTTGTTGCTGTCGTCCATATTTATAATTAGGTAAATTTATCATTTCTATTTAATTACCCTTGTGATAACCCATCACAGTAGAATATACATAATTTTACCACCGACTGGAATGCCCATACCACTACATTTCCTCTTCCACTCTCCAAAGGCTTTCTTTAAATGGACCTTAAAAAGTGTTGGTATCATAGTACATCCCTATTGAAGACCCTTTGTAACCAAGAATTTTGAGGAAACTTTTCTGCCTATTTTGACCATGCCCATACAGTTGCTGTAAAATTCTTTTACATCACTAACATAAGTTATGTTAGTTAAGTACTCTATTCTTATATAAACTGGTCCACAACGTGTTTTGTGGAACCAAATTTTTAGATCTTTCAATTCAGTCAAGCCTTAAATGGAACGTCCATTTAAATGATATGAACACTAAATTAAGTTCTTTATGCTACGCTTTCAGAATTCTTTCAAATTCATACCATTGCACGCAAATATTTATTAATTCCCGCCAGAGATATGGCATAATATTCCGGGAAAATACATTTTATAGCTCCCAGACTTTTATATTACAAAAAA